CTGACTGCGACGTTTTTATAGACAAACGCTCAGTTTCTATGGGCTCAACTTGAGAGTTTTTAGTTGAAGGAAGTCTTCTCCTCAGAGATGAGTTAAGGAGGCCATCTGTCCACGAGTTGTCGCCCTCAGCCTGGAAAGGCAAAAGCAGGGAATTTCAAGAGCTAAGATCGCCTCCTCCCCAGCAGAGGATCAGACTAGAAAGGGAACAGGCATAATATAATGGGCTTGACATTATCTTCTGTGAGCATGGAGGAGATCACTGGCAGACTGTCCCAGTGAATCCTGTCCTCCCAGGTTTAAGGATGGCAGCCACAGTAGTCATTTTATTTGACTAAAGGGAGTCCTGTGTTCATCCTGCGTTCATATCTGAAGCATTGTGTTCCCTACATAGGCTAGGTTCTATCTAAAATCTACAGTAAAAATACAGAAAGTTTCCGTGAAAAACAAAGTCTATTAGGGGAGCTCCAATGTTACCTTCCCTGGCACTGCTGTCTAAAATAAGATGACAAACCATCTGGTAACTAACTGCCAAATAGGTCAAGCAAGGAATACAAGTAAATTCTGCAACTCGTAAGTCTGAATGCAGCACGTATAACAGGAATACAAGGCTCTGCCTGCAAAAATCAAATGTCCCACCAAGAAGCATCATAATCATCCCATGCTCTCAACTTAAATGTACCATCACTGGGGGAAAAAAAAGAAAAGGCATAAACAACTAACAAACAAAAGATGATACTCTGCTTACCTAGATGAGTCAACCTCTAGAATCCAGTGCAAATATTTAGGGGTTCCATGAATCAAAAGCAAACTCTTACTTCCTTCTGATTATTTCTCTGGGGCCTCCAAATGATATAGGAGAAATATAACCCTCAACTTGCTAGATGTCAGATGTGGCAAGTTTGTGCCCCCCAAGATCGAGAAATGAATTTTAGGGAACAATGGAGCCTAAGTGTAGGAATGATTTACTGACTGACTGAGAGGTAGCTCCTGAGATACAGAAAGAGTCCCAAAAGCCAGTTGCTAGCAAGGCCCTTTGTTAGGGCTGATTTACAGAGCAAAGACACAGCGTGAGTACAACCTGGGTCAAAATATAACCAACCTATAGGATTACAAGTACAGCTGCTTAGCTAATATTGACCCAAAAGGGACATGAGTCACATAGCTAGGTTTCATGGAAAGAACAAAGGCATTTTGGGGAAAGGATGGGTCAGGATGCTCTGGTCACCCACCTGGGTGATTGATGATTATTTGGACTTTACCGGACTAGGTGATACCAATCACAGTACAATATCAAGTTATTGTTTATCCCTCAGGGAAGCATGTAGGCCTGGTCACTGTATCTTTATCTTGAGCTCTGCCCTTGAATGGATGCACCTTCAGCACTTATCCTTTGTACTGATTCTCCAGAGAGATTATTCCTGTCTGACTGCCTATTCGTTTCTAAGTTAGCTTCCTATAATAATAGAAATGCCAATATAAAACTCAAAACCATGAAAGTCAACAGGAAAACCATCTTAATGTTAGATCTTCTACTTACCTCTTGGACATAATCATTCCTTAAACCTGTTTTTATTGTCATATGTGCTTGGCTCTCCCTCTGCTAGTGGTGTCTTTATTTCAGCAGTTGACGGTATTCCTAATTGTCAATGCTACTAAATCACTCAGTAGCTAGAATTAGCTTTGAGCAGTTTGAAAGCTTCCAGGGCTCTTTAGAATAGTCCTTGGTACCTGCTATTGGACACTTGAATGCTCAACCTGTTAGAAGTTTGGTCATTCTGTCAGGAAGAATTTCCACTGAATCCACTGAAAACACTGAAGCAATTGAAAGAGAATTTCCCCAGCGAACCACTCTCACTCTACCCCCTATCACTGCCCTGCCTTCCAGCCTGTTAACAGCTGACCTGTCCATGTGCCCGTCAAAAGCTAAGCCCCTGTGTTTGCAACACATTCCATCCCTCTCTCCAACTGGAAGACTGGGTAGAGCATGTTCTCTTACCTCAAACTTTCACCCTTCTCTGGAATATCCTTATCCACCCTCAGAGTTGCTACCATTCCATGTTAAAGCACACACACTCTCCTTGACCTCAGTCTCTTTACCAGCTACTATCCCATTTCTCTTCACTTATGACAAAAATTCTCAAGTTTTGTCTAATCACAGTCTCAATCTTTTCCTCTCTCGTAAACCTACTCCAGCCAAGCTTTCAACACTTATCATTCACCAGAACTGTTCTTTCACAGACTCCAAGTGATCTTGGTCAACCCAACCCTCACCTGCCCGTCAGCAGCATTTGACCAGATGATCACTCCCTCCACCTTCACATCCGTTCTTCACTTAGCCTTCATGTTACCACACTCCCCTAGTTTTCTTCCCACCTCCTGGGACCTCATTAATCTCCATTGCTGGTCACGCCTCTTCTTCCCTAACCTGTTAATAGTGGAATACCCCAAGGCTTAGGACTAGGTCTCGTCTCTTTCCACATTTACCCTATTTCGGGCTTTAAGTTTCACCATACACATAAATGATTGGTGTCCTCAGCTCCAACCTCTTTCATGTCTTATGACTCCCTATCATCTCAAATACAGCAGACCCCAAACTGATTCCCCAAAGCCCCCTCAAAACCCCACTTCACCTATTTTTCTCTAGCTCAGCTACTGACAACTACATTATTCTATTCCACTGGTTCAAAATCTTTGCTCTCATACTTGATATTGAAATCATTTGATATATCTGAACATGTCTCACCATTTCCACTGCTTTTCTACTTTGATTGGAGCCACAGTAATCTCTTACCTCATTCAACAGTTCCCAAGCTTTGCCCAAGAATTTCAAAACCCACTGGCTGCTTCCTACCTTTTTAATATTCTGATTTAATAAGAAATTTCCAGATGTGCACCAAAGTTTGGGAATTACTGGCAAGGGTATGGTAATGGCCACCTAAGTGATCTCCCTGCTTCTCCCACTCCCCTGCTCCCAAAGTCTATCCTCCAGCCAGTAAGTAGACATAATTTTAAGTCAGATCATATCATTCCTCTGTTAAAAACTCCAGGGGCACCCAGTCTCAGAGTAAAAGCCCAAGGCTTCTCAATGACCTACAAGCTCTCCTATGGGCTGCACTGTCCCCTCCTGCCACCCTATCATTTATTTGACCTCTGTTACAATTTGTCTCACTTGCTGCTCCATTAACATTGGCCTTCTTACATGAGTGCACCATTCTCGGACCTTTGCACTAATTGTTCCGTCTGCCTGAAATACTCTCTCACCGGAAATCTGTACATAGAGTATCGTTCAAACATCATATTCATTATATCCTTTAAAAAGGCCTACTCTAGTCCTTATTTAAAATTACAATTTTATTACTCCCTCCGCGTGTGTGTGTGTGTGTGCGCACGTGCGCATGCATGGGCACACATACTGAGGTAGATGATGATGCCTTTAGATAAGAATGCTGGAAAGAACAAATTTGGAGAAGATACCCATTTTAGACATGTAACCTGTTGTCAAATAGGGGAGACATCAGGGCTGGGTTATAAATCTGGGAGGGGAGAGATGATATTTGAAGCCATCCATGGTGGTCTGTGGATTGTCTTGGGGGTAATCTCTCTGCAACACCAGTCTTCTTGAGTCCACAAGTGACTGAGAAAAGTAGAATAATCAAGAGTAGAGGGCCCTATTATAAAATACTTTCAGGGAAGATAATTTATGTTCCTTGGTAGAATGAAGTAATAAATTTCACTGAATTTAACTAGATGGATGTCACAAAACTTCAACAGAGCAGTTTCAGGATGGTAGTGGGATCAAAGACTTGGAATTGTCTTAATTCTAGGGGGAAGTAAAGAACTGGAGACAGCATCAAGTCCCATCTTTATTAATTAGGGTTCTTAATCTCTGATCCATGGACATAGAAGATCATGAGTAGACTTCAAGAAGTTATTCCATGTCTTCTCTCCAAACTCCATGAAGTTTCATGTGCTTTTCTGGACAGGCATTCATAGTTTTCATGACGGTTAAGATGGGCCATACAAGGTGTGACCAAAAAAGACAATGAATTTAAAGTTTTTAAAATTTTACTATAGTAAAAAATATATTGTCATTAATATCCCTCAAAATCTCTCCCCTTACATCAAACACATGGTTCTCACTACTTTCTGGAGCAGTTCTGAAGCCCTCTTTCATAAGAGTCTTGACTTGCACTGTTGTGCAGCCTCAATTCCCAAATCCACTGAAAATGTCTACCTGTCACCATCACTTTGCCTTTGTCCAATGAATAGGGTGGGTGAGAACACTGTAATGTTTTTACCAGCATGCCTTTCTGTTGGATGGCACCTGACACGAGCACTCAACCTATTTTTTATCATCCCTTGTAAAGACGCTCATGAAAGAGGACTTCCAGAACGGCTCCAGAAAACAGCAAGAAGATGGGATGGGTGGGTTCTAAGAGAGGCACGGACTATTTTGAGGGCGATTCATGGCAATGTCTTTCAATGTCTTTGAAAATTTAAATATTCACTGTATTTTGTGATCAGCTCTTGTCTTATCATTCGCAGAGACCTGACCCACAGCCGGCTCCTCAGATCGTTTCCTAACAGGTCTCCTCCACGCTCTGAATTTAGATTCTTCCTCGCGAGGAGACCACGTTCCAGTTCCAGGCCAGCCTACCGGCAGTGCTGCACCTGGGATCCGGAGCCCCATTCAAACAGGGCCCGCCCCCACGCCCTCACTCAGGCTCAGGCTCGCTACTGCAGCT